AGACCACTGGCTGCACAACTCCCAATTTTAATCAAGGGTGCGCAGGGACAGTATATTCCCTGGGCCTCACAGGACCTCGAAGGGTTGGTCACTCGTCTCCCCAATATTAATGAGGGTGCCGGCAAATGGATAAGAATATTTGAGGAAGAAACTATGGGCAAACTTTTGGCTGTGAGAGACATTAAAGCATTGCTGGCTAAAATAATAGGAGGGTCAAAGATGGATGCTATTCTTCAAACAACTACCCTGAACAAAGCAATGAACTCTCATAATATGGATGGAATTGTTTTTGATGCATTCTGTCCAGCATTGTGGCAGTCACTGCATGCAGAGAAAAAGGACACAGAGAATCCAACCACATATGTCCAGAGACAGCTGAAAAGGTGGAAACAAGAGACTGAAGGGAATCCAGAAGGAGACCCATTAATGGCAACATTGTTTAGACAGGCTGTGATTGATGCTATGCCGCCAGCCGTAAAAAGCAGGCTGGAAGATGTGGTCGGTTTAAACTCTAAAACACACAAAGAGTTTTGTGACCATGTGTCTCATGCCGTAGAACAAAACAGAAAAAATGAGCAAAAGCTCAAGAGCCAAGAGAAAGAGCTACAGCGAAAACTAACTCATTTACAGCTTGAAGAACTGACAAACAAAAACAAGAAAAAGATTCAAGCTTCAATAAAGAAAGAAGAAGCAGAACAAATGACAATGATGTCTCCAGTAAATGCTCCGCAACCAAATATTCTGTCAAGCCCACCTACAGCAGTCCCTCCAAACGCACACTCGATCCCTGTACCTATAATAAATGTTTATGCTCAACAGCCAGGACCCATGGGATGGAGACAAAAACCAACACAGAGAGGCCAGAGAGGAAGAGGCAAACCTTTTGCTGGCCCTCCAGGTGTGTGCTGGGCATGTGGACAGCCCGGACATAATAAAATTGACTGTCCCACGTATCCATGGCAACAATACCCTCGGGGTGCAAGGGGAGAGAGCTGGCAACAGCCTAACCGAGGTACTTCACAGGGCCCAGTTAACCCTTGGGGAGGTCCCAATCCAGGCTATTAGGGGTGCCCAGAGAATCCTATTGGGGAGAGTCAGCTTCCAATTTTAACAAATGAAAGCTGATCAAGAGTCTATTATGCAAATTAATATAGAAGGAAAAAACACACCCATGTTGCTAGACAGAGGTGTTGTCTATAACTGTTTAAATTTAATATATGCCTCATATCTCCCCTTGTCTGAAAATTTTTTTTTGCAAAGACAATAGGATTCTTGGGAAAAATGCAATTAATTCCAATGACAGATCCAGTGTGTCTACAAACAAGAAATCAAAGTATAACAATGCCCATTCTGGTATCAAATCAGACTCCTATCAATTTGTTAGGAAGGGATGCATTATGTAAATTAGGGCTACAAATTTGGTGTTCTCCAGAAGAAATATATATCGAAGCAATAGGAACAGAAACACAAATGGTGGTTACAGAGCCAAAAGCTAATATCTATTGGACAGGACAGATAGAACAATATGTGAGACAGACAGTCAATAAGTTGGTAAAGTATATTGAAGTACAAATTCCTGAAGCACAGCTACCAAAAACAGAATTTCATTGCATGATGATATATGATCCAGAAAGAAAATAAATAAATAAATAAATAAAAATAAAAATAAAGAAAGAAGAAATAGAAAAAATAGGGCAATTAATTTCTGCTATGATGCTACCAAAAAGACTAGCAATAATCAAATGTCAGGCACACAAGAAGGGAAATGATTATGTTATTAATGATATTAAGGGAAACAATACAGCAAATATAGAAGCTGAAAAAGCTTCAAGGTGTCAAGTAGCAGTATTAGCACCTGTAGTACTTATCAAACCTCAACCTCAATTAGAGGATATAATTCGAATTCAACAACAAACAGGCCCCTATGAACAATCAATGTGGCACGAAGGGGAGCTAAAAAAGACTCACAAGAGATCTGGCGTACACATGAAATAAAGGGAAAGGATATGAATAAATTATCCCTATAAATAATGGGAAAATTAATGAATGATGAGCCCTGTCTGAATAAAGGGACGAGCAGTGTGAATGTGATTAGGAAAATAATATCAATAAAGATTGAGGCTTTTGCAGAAGTGATAAGAAAAATTAAAAAGCAAGGATATTGGTCTCTTTATTTATATGAAGTGATAAGAAAAATTAAACAACAAGGATATTGGTCTCCTTATTTATATGCAATGATGGATGAATTTTTGTCCACATGTGAAGTTTGTGCCAAATACAATGTAAGGAAAGGGATAGCGACACCAATAGGACATATACCAATACCAGAAGGGCCTTTAAGCATTTGGTAATGGACTATGTGGATATAATAAAGCAAGTACAAGGAAAAAGATACATGCTTGTGATCATAGACAGATTTAGCAAAATAAAGAATTCTTTTTTATAAAAGATTACGTACTGAGTGATTGTAAAATAGAGTTGAGAATATCAATTTATATAAAAAGTAAATGCATCAGACAGAATAAAAAATAAAATTCAAAGAGGCATGTCACAGAATAAAGACTAAAATTAGGAGAAATTGGTTAAAAGAGTTAAATTAAAACTGAATTATAATAATATAGGAAAAAATATGGCAGTCACTCCAGTGGAAATATTAGGATTAAAATAACCACTGAGTAAAGAGTCAATAAACGATAAAAAAGAGAAACAAAAAGGGAAAAAGAAAAAGAAATGATAGCCCTGTTCAAAAAGGAAGGGGAGGACATATTAATAAATATAAAACAGGCAAGAAAAATATTAAAAGAGGCAGACGAAGAAAAAGGAAAGATTATTATCTGAGCCACCCCCCTATTTGCCATAGAGGGAGAGGTCACAATCCTCAAGGGAACAGTAGAAATTCAACTGGAGAAATGCAAATAGAAGGACCAGTAAAGCTGAGAGTTGGAAGAAAAAAAGGAACCAGCTGTGAAAA